CACCCCTGCAGTGCTGGTGGCTGCTCCCACACCCCTCTTTACAAAATCCTGGATTCACCCATGGATGGGATTATTATGTCTGCATGATTCTGTAGCAAAACAAGTATATTGTAACGGATACCAGCCGCAGCTCCTCCTGCTCTTATAAATGGCTAAAAAGTGTATTTGCCATACCAAAACATTTGATTGCTTGACGATGAAGGTCACAACTATCCACAGCAGGTTCATGTGATGATGCCTATTAATGGTCTCTATGATATGTAGATGATAAAGCTTTCTAGACTAAAACTTGTTTGTTGGTAGATTTCTTCATGGCATAAAAGTAACAGAGACAGTTTGTGGTCAAGATTTGTCCCTGTTTTTTGTACCTGCAACTCTAGCCAGTTTATTTGTGCCCATAGATAAAACTAGAAACCTACATCTTTCAGAAGCATGCAGAGAAATGCATTTCTGCAGTGAAGTGGTGATGCAAGTTCCTCAGTAGGATTTAGATATTTTTTATTTCCTTAATTGTAAATAAAATTGCATTAAAGTTAATTTTTCAAATATGTGCCAATTAGGACAAAATGGAAGGGGCTTGAAAAAGCAAATTTCAGTTTCCTAGAGTGACCCTACATGCATTATATTTTCTGAAGTGTAGCAGATAGCAAATGGTTTCCTTAAAAGACCAGAACCCAAAAGCTTCACATTATGGTTTCGTACCTAAAAGTTTGACAATATTTGGGTTATCAAATTCTGCCATGAGAGCTGCCTCCCTCTGGAAATCAGCCTGCATGTCTGCTGATGCTTCTTCCTTCAGCATTTTCACTGCCACCATAGTGAATGGCTCATAAGGAAGCAATCCAGGAGCCCTAAGGAGAGAGAGAAAGTATATGAGCACAAGGGAGAAGTAATGCCCAAACTTCATCTTCAGTTACCGATAAAAACAGGGATGCGAGGTTTTTCAAAGCTCTGATGTGCATTAGAATTGAAATGCAGTGTTGTTGGACAGTGTGAAGAAGGGACAAGGACTGAAGGAACATGAACAGAAGAATATCTGCATTTCACCTTTAGGGAGAGTTCATCTAAGGATATGGATGTGTGAACAAGTTACCCTGTGATAAAGGAGGCCAAGGCTTTACCATACGTTAGTTACTTTGTGATAACTGCCTATGTACATGCTTTTGCCCAGCAGTAAATGAAAGCTTGCCATAATGTACCCCTCTTTCATTGAGGCCTAATCTACTGCAAGTCAGATTCCATTGCTACAGGATAAGATGTACACATGCATAATTACTACAGAGCAGGCGATGCACTGTAAAATACCACCTTCCTTTACTTCACAATAGCTTGTCCATGTGTCCATGCCCTAAATCAGGATAAGTGAGGGTCTGTGTGGATAACTGATTTTTTGGACAGAGGCTTGAACTGAAAAATTGGTACCAAATAAAATATCCCATTCCATGAACCATTTAATATAATGTGTAGGTCTATTTTAACCTTTTTGACAACAACAGTAAAAAAGTTCAGTATCAAAAATGTTGAAATAGAATATTTAAACATTTTCAAAGCTTCTTCCCACCTTTTTTGGGGTCCAGAAAAACAAACAAACTAGTATTTCAGTTGCCCCAGGATTGCATCTTACAGCAGGCAGGCTATTCAAGCACAACATTTTGTGCAGCTCTGGGTAAGAGATATCTACATTGTCTGTAAGATAGATGGCACCATAGTGACTCTCAGTATGCCTGTTTGTGCTTACAAAGAAGATTATAGTCCCCCAGCCAGTGACTCTTGCACACTGTACCAGCTCTAGAAGGTGGATGTCTTTGAGGGAACACCAGTGTTTCAGGTCCACCCAAGACCAGATTTTGTACCATGTTGTAGACCCACTGGTAAATACAGCATGAGTTGGGAAGTCATGATACCTTGGTTCTCTTCCTGCTTCTTCCACTGACCTCTTTAAGACTTAGGGAAAGCCAATATCTTGTCAGAGAAGATAAGCTAAAGCTAAAGCTTCATGGGGACAGGCTGCCACTCACTGCGTATGTGTATTTAGTGTGTCTTCAAAAATGAGGCTGCTTTCTTATTTGGAGCCTCTAGAGATTATTGTAATATAAACATTTTCATTTTCAAATTTACAGGGCATTCTGTACTCAAGACTTGTAATTAAAGATGCTGGCTCCCAAGCTTGCCAGAGGTTTTGAGATGGTCATTTCCAAAGCTCAGGAACTTTCTACTCTGTAAACAGTTGAGGTATATCATGAATTTTATTAGCCACAATATTTCATACCCAGGGAGACGTGGAAGGCAGGTGCTCAACACGAAAATATTATGTCTAGACGTAGCCTGCTAATGCCTATAGAAGGTGGCATCTCTTTGGGATTCGTGTTACTTTCCTAGATTTACTGATCACCCATTACTTAAACGTCAGCTTATTTTACTGTCCAGTAGCATTGGGCAGGTTCTAATTTCCAAAGCAAACTTCCAGTTTCCTTGTCATCTACTCCAGACATATGGCTTTGCAACAGATGTACTTGGACATGGTAAATGTCAGATCATTGTCAAATGTCAGAGAATGGCATAATGCCCATCTAAAAGGAAATCTCGCAGGGCAGCAATATCACAGCTGAAAAGATTGCCCATTGAGTTCCAGCACTCAGGAGCAATAAAACTGATTCAACATTCATTTGCAAAAATGGGAGGGGGGGAGTGTATGGAACCTTCTACTCTATGAAGAGGGAGAATACCCTTTTCATGTGCTGGCCAATATCACATATTTTGGTGCTTGAGAGTAAATGATCTGTATCATTCTTTCTATTAATAACCAAAGTATGAAAGAGATAAGGGGTCTCATGTCTTCTGATTGGTATTGGGGGTTCATTACACCCCATTAGTAGCTTACATGAGCTTATATGGTAGAAAAATAAAAGGTTGGCACGGATTTCACATTTTGTTTATTGCAAGGCCAGCAATAAACCATGTGTTGTCTGATCTCTGAGAGTGAAATGTAAGTGGGACATAAGCAGTATCCTTGGGGCTTTGTTCACAGGGGATTTTTACTCTGTGTAAATTGTCTCAATGATCTCAGACCAGCTCTTAATGGACAAGTATTCATATGGCAGAAAACTGCCACAGTTTGGACATAATTGGTGTCTTTATTAGCCCACTTCGTACAAATACAGAGATCAACCTCTTTAATTTCAATGAATGATCTTTCCAGGCTGAAACAGAGACAGTTGTAGGACAGTACTAGGAGGCTACTTATTCTGAAGTTAACAAAGGATTTCAAGTTTCCAAGTCTGAAAACTGAGGGCCTCCTGCCCAACTGGCCATTACCTCCTGGAACAAGGTTATACCAACAGCTATTTTCACCAGTATATCTCTTTAATGCTTTCTTCAGTGCTTGGATTAAATAGTCAGCTGTTGGTGCACAAGGGTATACATGACGAAAAAAAGATATTAATGTCTCCTCTCCCTCCAGGGAATCTGCACAGCTCTGGAAAGAACTGTGACTGCTTTGGTTTTAAGCTGTCTACCAGTGCAGAGGTCAGACCAGTCATACAGAGTTGTAGACCCTGAATCCAATGGCTATGGTATCTGAGACTCTTTCATGAGTGCCATAAGCAACATGGTTATGACATGCAGTTCATTCAATTTCTTCCTCCCTCTCCCAAGGGACAATGATGTACTGGTGTTGGTAGAGGATTACGCTGTTCTTCTTTTGTTATATTTTATTTGTGAATGCTGCTCTCTGTTTATATTAGGAAAGGCGGAGTGAAGAAGTACCCCTTGCACTTGAAGTGGAAGCTGATGAGGTTTGCACTGGAGAAGTTCCAGCCATCCTGATTTCTGGATGGGTTTCCACAGGCACAGACTAGCCCCTGAGACAGCTCTCTCTCCTGCACAGACAGAGAGTCTTTATGGTAGAAAGAGCTGTTGTGCCAGAGAAATAGGGTTGCCAACCACAGTCTTTATCTAAGAATTTAGCAAGTTTTGATAGACTGAGCCCAGACCATTTAGCTCCAGCTCTAGAAGAAATCTGCATGTTGGTCCATAACAAATCAGACCTATCTTGAGAGCTATTAGCTGACTGTTAGTGAGCACAAGGAAATACTCGGCAGCCTTGAAAGCAGAAGGCCTTGACCTGGCCATAGCCATGCAGACAGGACAGACTTGAGCATGATAAAGACAAATGTGAAGGTAACTTGTTACATCCTCATTCTCTTGCAGCGTGAGTTAGTTCTTAGCAAACATGGCAGCTTTTCAGAAGTAGCCAGTAAATAATAGCCAGTCACTTCCTGTCCTGACATGTTGCTTGACCCAAGAATAAGTAAACATTGAATCAGAATTCTAGGCAAGCCAACTGGCAAAGAGATTATTGGCACCATGCGTAGAAGTATGTTTACAGGGATGAAATATTAGACAAGGAGAAATAGGAAGCTTACTATATTTAGTCCGAGACATCGATTTAACACACATAGGCCAATGCATTGCAGTTTGTTTTCGAAGGCTGAAGGGAATAATTTAACTTTGGCAGCTTTAGTGATCCATGAAGGTGTTATCTTCAATACTGCCAGGCCAAAGATTCATTGTATCTTTTACCTGCCAGGGCTGTACAGTAGGGCCAAGTTCTTCCATTTGCCTAGCAAATGAAAAGCTTCTGAAGCATGCTAAATTAACATGCTACTGGGAGTGAGAAGATCATACCAAAAAACCCATTCAGAAATCAGGAGGGCTGGAACTCCCCCAAAAAACCAATTTAAACAGTCATTGGCAAAGGAGAGGATCTTTCCATTGTCTAAATCAGTGGTGTGCAATCATTTGGCCCTGCAGGCCACTTGAATGGCACCGGGCTGGTTCGTGAGCTGGATCAGACCCCACACACTGCCTCCACTTGGCCCCATATGCTGGCGTTAGTCCCCATGTCACCCCGCATGCCCAATCCAGCAAGTGGAGCTAGGACCCATGGGGAACCCCATGGGCCAGATGACATGGTGTTGGAGGCCATATCTGGTCCATGGGCCAGGGATTGAGCACCTCTGGTCTAAACACTAGATAGGATGTTTTTCATACATGTGCTGCCTTTCTCCTTTTTTTTTCTTTAAATATAGCTAGAAGGGTTTGATTGAAAGTAATTAAAAAAGGGCACTGATATGCCAGCACGAAGTGCTACATCACACATATCCAGTGTACCGGAGACCAACAGAGCATAAATGGAGCTTGAAGAGATTTATAAAGGCTGTGTTCCTTTTTTTTTTTGCGGGGGGGAGAAGGGTGATACTGACCTCCATTCAGAGGACTAGTACAAAGAAAGCCTATGTAGTATTAAGTCCTCCTTAAAACTCTCAAAATAGAGCTTGAGTGGCACTCAAGTAGGGGGATAATCCTTGTTTTGCCTCTCTCTAGGGGTGAATTTTGCCCAGGATGAAATAAAATAATGAGCTATATTCAACAGCATGCTCTTTGGGTTTGTTTTAAAATTCACATACACTGGGTTTAGGGGAGCTTTGCATCATCAGCATGGCATACAGCATCTGGAACATAGCTGAAACTCTGCCCTAGTATGCTTTGTTGTCACTTCAAATTTAACTCATCCAGTTTAGCCATCAAAGCTCACAGATTCACAGAAGTTTAGAGCTGGAAGGGACCTTGTGAGATCATCCGGTCCAGCCCCCCTGCCCTGGGCAGGAAAGACTGCTGGGGTCAAATAACCCCAGCAAACAATCAATCATAAGCTAAGTATCTGTGATTTCCCACTGCATGCCCTTTAAACTGTTATTTTTAACACTCCCCATATAAATAAATGCATGCCCACACTTCCTCTCCATCTCTTCATTAAAAATATTTCTTGCATCCATCACAAGTATTTCCCCATTGAAAAAAATGTAGTCTACCCATCATTCATTTCCTAATAAGCTTGTCAACAGTAGAACTATCCATATTTAGTGCAGACTATTTTCATACTATAAACTTAAAAATATCAGCTGTTGCAGCCATTCTGTGAAAGAGGAAGACTTCAATTTTGCTGAACAGAACACCATAATTAACAAGTTGCAGCAGAATATTCTTTTCTGTCCATCATGCTTAACCTGTAAGAGAATGGAATAACTGACAGCATTTAAGCTTCATATCACTTCTCATGGAATCACATAGGAAAGTAGGGCCGGAAGGGACCTCATAAGGTCATTTGGTCACGTGTAGGGCTGGGCCAGCTGCCAAACTCAGGCAGTGGTGTGAGACAGTGGTGTGTCTTCTGATTGCTGCTGGCATGATTGTGCGGTGGTAACAGTGGCCATTTTTTTCCCTCATGCCCCCTAAATTGGTACCTGGGGCAGCTGCCCCAGTTGCCCTGCCCTAGTTATGCCATGCACCTAATCCAGCCTCTTACTCAAGGCAGGATGATCTCAGACTAAACCATTCCAGCCGAATGCCTGTCCAACCTGCTCTTGACATTTTCTAGGGATGGAGATTCTACAATTTCTCTAGGGAGCCTGCTCCGATGCTTGCCCACCGTCAGAGTCAATCTTTCTTCATAAGTCATGCTCTCCAGGCGTCTTGTCATTTTTGCTGCTCTACCCTGGGCTCTTTCAAATTTGCCCACATCTTTCTTAAAGTGTGGGGCCCAAAACTGAAAATCCTGAAGCATACAATATCATCACAACAAATCACTCTCAGTAACAACAGGAAGAGTTATATCATTGTACTCAATGCATGATAAACTGAGCTGCCACCTTAAACTGGTTTTGTGGGAGTACCTGACCTTCCCTATCTAATAAACAGGAGGAGAATGGGAACGTTTACAAGACTATTTTGCTAAATAACGATGAAAAAATGATTAACAATAGAAATAAGTGAGCTGTTGTTATGCTTTCATATATGAATATTTCATTTTTATTTGAATTGTGCATTTCTCTATGGCACGTTGAGTATATGAGCCAGTGGTTTCCTGTTTTCAGTACTCTGGCCAGACAGTTATGGCATCTAATTGTGAGCACTAGGGAGTACTCACTAGCAGGACCTTTACCTTGCTTGAAAGACTCTTCCAAATGCTCCTTCTCCAATATCCCTCACATATTCAATGTTGTTTCTTGGATATTCCAGGCTGAGCAATTTAGGATTCAGGAGAAGTGGCATACGCTGGTACATAGGATTAGGATGAAGTCTGTCCAGTAAGAGCTCGGAGGGAAGAGTTGTAAGTGCTGGTGCCTCTGATTCCCTGAATTGAGGGACAAGGAATCAATGGTTAGGTGAAATCATGTAGATATTACTCTGCCAGGTGACAACATTTTTTCATCTCATTTGATGTTTGACCCTGGATGACTAGAGAAATGTGGTACAAAAAGACCCCACAGGGCCTCTTGGCATATGTGGAGTCAGTTGCAATCCTTCAAAAGACAGCCTATCGCTTCTTGTCCTAGTCTGCAGTGGTAGAAATGATTTGCCACAAGAATGGGAATTTCAGCACAGATTCGGGCCTCTTGTCTTTGCCATGCCCTCTGTGCTCCTGCCAGCATGTCCATGTTCAGCATGGCACACTCAGGTGAAACTGTACTTGGGGACTATCTTTGATGCATAGCACCCCTTAACATGGAGCTATGCACCTCTCTATGAGCACCCTGCTTTATTGGGCATTTTGCCATCTGTCCTTAGTTTATTAATTGTGTACTGTTGTCTCATGACACTGAATTGTTACTTCTGATCCATTTCCAATTTTCTTCTTATTTCTGGGCTGAGCCTGTCAGCTTGCCAGGCCAGAATCCAATCTAGTACATCCTCACGTATGGGGCTGATCTCTTTCTCCTATGATTAGTCATGTTGAGGTAGCAATGGAATGACCCATGTGAGCAAGAAATATTTGTCTGTTTAAGAGGTTTTAGGACCATATTGGTATTGTGGAGCAGCAATATGAAGACAGAAGACCTAAACGTCTTTGAGAACCCTACAAAAAGCAATGATACCCAGGAAGCATTATCCTGAATAATAAACAAAGTGCCCTGCACATTGACACGCCTTTACAAAAAAGGCGCCTTTCAGTTTTTGACAACAGAAGGAATCTAGACTGGAAAAATCCTTGGTCTGATTCATAAACACTGTTGGCTATTAACCACAGAGGCTTAGGGTTGAGGCTGTGGAATTTGTTTTAAGTGGATGAGGATTCATGTCTAGATAATGTCTAGTGTATTCACTGAAAAGTCTGTGGAGTAATGCCTGGCAACAGGAGAAATTTAATTCAAAGATTCTTTTTTCGTATTTATTTGCGTCTTTTTCTGTTCCTTTCTTCCCCTTTGATCATTCAACCCTTAACAATGTCCAATAACCTACTGAATAGTGTTCTTGCCAAGGAGGAAAGTTTTACAATTTTAGAATGGCAAATATGGCCTAGAAGACCTGGTCCTTACTTTCAAAGCCAGGCTTGATCTGCACAACTGATTCTTTAATTCAGCATTTGCTAAACTGTGATGCGTGCCCCCCCAGGGGAGGCAGGGTGGACCTGAACATTTCCTAGTGGGAACATGTGAATCACAGCAGTATCTCCCTACTTCAGCCTCTGTCACACCCTCTCCCCACTTCAGCTACCATTGTCTCCCCTTGCCAGTGACAGCAGCTGGTGAGGGGTATCAGTAGTGGGGGGAATCAGCAGCAAGGGAAGCAGGGGCAGTAGTTGAAGTACAAGAGGCATGAGAGTACCTGACTGCCTACAGTGGGACATAAACACACAAGGTTTGGGAAATGCTGCTTTAATCTGTCAATTGCCTGCCAAACCAGAACTTTGTTTTCCATTCAGAACTGAACCAATGAATTTGCTTAACTGTTTACATATGTGGCCAGGTACCTTTGTTAAACAATCTCTTAGGGTTACATCAAGTCCCAACTAGTTTCAGCTGTAGCAAAATTCATATGGCTGTCTTGGCTGTACTCTAGCTGAAATCACCATTTCCTTGTTTCGCTGTGCTGAGAATTTAAAATCAAATACCATTCTCCTTAACTAGAAGTATGTAGGAGACCTGTAACACTGGACAAGCATCGACATTCTCCAAAAGACTCATAAGGGAAGCAGAATGCTGCTGTTCCTTGTCCCCGGGTCCCAGGGAAGAATATGAGGATCTTCAATCTGCTTGATGTAGAATCTTATTATTATTAATATGATATTCATTTTCAAGTAGCAGCCAGATGTTTCAGTCAGATTGAGAACTCTATGGCAGGTACTAGCAGACATCTCTCTGCCCCAAAGCATTTACAATTTAATATTTCCCTTTGCATGATCACCTTTTAATATAAAACACATTGAACAGTGTGTGCAACCCTGTTGGTCGAAAGAAAATGCGGACTTCTAAAGTAGATTTAATCAGTTTACTCTTATGACTTTTCCACTCAGACTACAAAACAAATATTTGAGAACAACTTACATGTCTTCCTTGTATCACAACTTAATGAGCACTGAAATTACATCTACAATTCCTGTTTCAAAGCTGAATTTGCTTTAGTAAATTCTACGTGACTTATGACTATTGATAGCTCTCTTTCCTTGCCTGCACCAAGAAATCTTAGGTCATACCTCTTTTTGTTTTTCCATTGTTTTCTTCTCCGGCAGCAAATAAGAGCAACAATAACGAAGATCACTATCAGTGCAAAGCTGGAGATGATGGAAATAATGACAGTCATGGAGTATGTAGGGGAGAAAGGAGGAGGAGGGAGATTTGGAGTCTCTGCACTTGGGTTTTTAGTTCCTTGTGTAAAAGAAGCTGTAATGAAAACAAAAACAGTGAGTGCACCCCTCTGAAATGCTACTGGACTTTTCTTTAAAAGATGCTTGTAACATTAGCCTGTTATCAAGGTCATTTTGTGATGTCAAAAATTCTTAGTGTGGTTATGCCTTTCAAAAAAATAACCCACCATGAATATACAAGTAATTATTAAGTTAGCTCTCTCAGGGCTATCCCAGAAGTCAGCTAATTTGTAAATGCAATGACCAGGACTTAGAAGGAAAACTAAGTTAGGTTGCCTTGTTCATTCCTTCTCGAGTGCAGCCAAAGCAAGGTAGCTTCGGTTCATGAAGACCCGTGCTTCTGATCTCTGCTTCGTGAAAGTGGGGGGAAAAGAAGCCTTTGTTAAAGTGTATTTTGAACAGTTTGGTATTCTTGTGATAGTTTAAAATCCCAACATATATGAAGAATTGGATTTTTTAGCAAACCAGCCAGTAGCAAAAATAAAATGGCCAGAGGTTGGATACAGTGTTGGATACAAACGTTTCATTTTCAGAGGGGTTTTTTAGGGGGTTTTGTGTATAAAATAGAAAATCAAAATTGAAGATCAAAAAGATTTTGTTTATAAAAATGAAGAAACAAAGCATTTGGATTTTCAACATTGTTTCAGGGTTGTTTTTTTTTTACTGAAATAAACCTGGCAAAATATACATGGATTCATGAAATATTTCATTCAACCTGAATCTGTATTTTTCATCAATGATGAAAATTACACCCAAAATGTTTCGCCATATTCTATTCTAAGTTCCTCTCTCCTTGACCATAGTTCGTGCTGTGATTTGCAAGAGCAAAACACTTGGCTTCTCTGCCCCCACTTCTCATCTGTAATGTGAAGAAATATCTGTTAGTCAAGGGTTCTGTGAGGCTGGGTTGTTTGGTAAAGCACTCTGAACTTGAAGGGCTATATTGTGTTCCCTCTGAAGTCAATGCAAATAGCTACAAACATTGAGGTGACTATTAGGGTAAAACAGACCTGGAAGGTTTTTATGTGTCAGTGCTTAATGGGAATCCTACAAGGAGAACTGCTGTCCAAAGTTGTCAGCCGCAGTCCCTTACCATCTCCACAAAGAGGAACACTGCAGTATTCCCAGTTTACAGAGGGATCCTTTGTGTAACACCAGGGTCGCTCATTCTCACCTCCTGGATTACGGCAATAGTTTTCGGCATTGAAGAGCTCTGGGAAAACCTGAGGGGTCCTTCTGTGCAAATGGGGTGCCTTGTGGTGAGAAGGAAATTAGATTACTCTTTTTCCGAATGTAAGCAAGGCAGCCATTGATGTGAAATGCTAACACTGTAAAACACCTACTTAATTGGTAAATGAAAAACACCTACTTAATTGGTGAATGAAGACACCCCATTTAAGTACCTCGCTTCTGCTTCTCAGTCTCTACAGAATTTGCTCAGTGCCTTGGTAATGAGTCTTCAGGTGGGTAATGATTATATCTTTATTAGGCCATATGAAATGATTGAAAGCGTTACTGTAATGGTTCTTCTGTGTAGCAGAAGCCGCACAGAGTGGTCATCTCAGCATAAGGGAATCCTTCAGCAGCGTGCAGCTAGCACTGTGGCTCTTGTACCCTTTGCTTGCTGCTATGGGGTACAAGGCCCAGGAATAAGGGACCTTTTGTTCCCAACTGATCTGCAGCTGCCATACCATCCCACATTGGGGTCACTGGCACTTGGCATAAATACAAAGAGTTTTCAGGCTGTCATGCTGCAGGGAGATGCTTTGCAGGCATCTGGCCCGGGCCTGGCTATCACACATGCCATCTTTTCCCACACTTCCTACAGCAGAGTTGAGTGTGCCACAGCTCTCAAAGAGGCTCTAGGCCTGTTACATAGTTAAGCCAGGATTTTTAGAGCATCCTAAGGGAACATGGGTCCAACTCCCTTTCAGTGGGATGTGAGTGCCTGAGTCTGAGAACTGGGCTATACATTCAGCCATTCTTTTAGATCTGAAGAAATGGATGCTTTACCTGCTCACTCCACCTCTGACAAGGAACACCAGAGGCTGTGACATTGACAGGACCCTGGTAGAACCGCCCATTGCCTTTGTAGCACTTTGCTGTGGACAAAGAGCATTCGAACAAGGAAAGTAAGACCATGCACTGCAGCAGTGTAATGATGATAACTCCTGATTAGAAGCAGGGAAGCCTTGGGAGCATTAACATGGCCAAGCAACTTAGCCTTCCACTTAAGAGACTACCTAGACTTCCATTCACTTGGAACTGCTTCTTAGCTCATTACAGCAGGGTTAATCTAGTGTAACTCCAAAGGAGGAGATGGATTTAAACTAGTGTAAATGAGATGCATTCAGGTTCCAGTCACTCTGAAAACTTCATCTTATTTATCCCCTTCACTTCCCTCCATTGCAACCCTGACCTTCATTTAAACAGTACCAAGAGTATCTCTGTAACATGGTTCTCAACCTTTTTTAGACTCAAGACACCCCTTGTTAGACTTAAGGCACCCCTTGGAAAATGCCAGTTCTTAGCTTTACTCATTTTTTGACAATGGAAAAAAACAGCAATTCTTCTGTTGCAAAGACCTCAGAAAGACAGGTCAGAATGTTTTTGATGCCGATAATTCCTGTTTGAAATCTCTCAGTTACTCTTGTGAATCAGGTGTAGGTTTTTGCCCAGTTAACAGTGCTAATGTTGCATGACGTCTCGTATCACCCTTAAAAGGATCCAACAACACCCTGGTTAAGAATCACTTCTCTATAAATTTCATATACAGATATATGTAACAAGTCCATATTGTTAAACTCCACCACAGGGGTGGGCAAAATGCCAGATGCGGCCCACCAGGCCATTCTATCCAGCCCATGGGGCTCCTAAAAATTTTAGAAAATGAATATGCATCTGCCCTGGGCTGCCTGTCACACTGCCCTTGATGGCTTGCCAAAACTCAATAAGCAGCCCTCTACCCAAAATAATTGCCCGCCTCTGCTCCACCACATAAAAAGAACCATTCCTTTTAAAATTTAGGAAAAAAGAAGGGAAGCTATTAGAATTTAACAATTTAATGTAACCTTGTACATAAAAAGTATTATTTACTAGACTTGTTTATCTAATTGTAAAGAATTGGCTGTAAGGAATTTAGGGAATTTTCAAAAGCATCTAGTGGGTTTAGGTACATTGACCCCATGCTAAACTCTTTGGGACACTGACTGTATTTTCTGGCTTTATTATTATTATTATTATTATTATTATTATTATATTATTAACCCTTTTAATTACAAAAGGAATAGACTGAGTAGGACATTTGGTGAGAACAAGTCCCAATAACTCCATGGACCTGACAATGGTACCATAATAAAAAAGGAGTAAAATCTTAGTTTTGTACCTAATGCCATGAGATAAGATTAAATAAACACAGAGAACAGATCAGCTGAATAAGATGGTGATGCAGAGTACTCTTGACAAAAAGCTAAAAGGTAGCATGTTTACACAGCCCTTCTTTTGACCTGACACAGCATTTAAAAAATCTGTCTGGAGAGAAGTATAGCGGGGGTGACTCACACTCACAGGCATGCACATGTGTATATACATTGCTCTCTTTCCTTTTGCACAAAGGAATAACCGCAGCTGTATGTATTCCTTAAATGCAAGGATTGTCCAGGTAACAGGGACGGGGCAGCTGCAGTGAATTAAGCCAGTTCTCCCTGCACACCATAAAAGGGATGCATTATGGTAACAAGGAGCAGGGGAGGAGTAGCTGATACTAGAAGCAAACCCTTAAAGAAAAGTTATAGAGAAAAGACTACTTTTATTCTATTGATTTTTCCATTGAATGCATGCATGCTGTAGTATCTGAGCACTTCTCAAGCGTTACAGAACATTAAGTGGCAGCAGAGCTTAACTCACTGTCTTTAAAAATGAGCCTTCAGGTGCCAGAATGAGGGGTTGCATACACACATTTTAGTCCACAGCAAAGTAAAGGTCTGCTCAGTTTATGAAATCAGAGGCACCGGAGTAGGCACAGAAGTATCATACTACAAAAATATTGCCTGGCCATAACAAAAACATACGCTGCAAATATTTTAAACCTGAAATATTGTCAGCATTGCCAGCCACCAAAGGTTCACAAACCAGGAGTCAGGGCCTCCTCAAAACATGGGACTGAAATTGTTGTGCTGGGTTTTTGCCTCCCGATATTGAAATGTTTAGGGAGTCACAATTCTCCACTTCCCCAAAGGCTAGAAACTTATTTTTTTCCCTCTCAAATGAAACCTGAAAAATAGAGGGTTAGTGGCTGATTCCAGGTGGGCCTCAAATTAAAACACCAAGGGTCAGATCTTCCTCCACCTATTAAGTGCCTATGTATATTCTTGTTCCACCTTGCTTGAATCCCTGAAAAACTGTTTGCTTTTGTTACGCACCATCAGGTCAGCCTGAAGACTAAATTACAAAAGGCATCAAGAAGGAGAAAGAGCAACCCACCATTCGCATTAATGTTGTTTTAGGCACTCGGGCAGGGTGGAATTGAATCACAGTTAGATGCCTCCATTCACTTAGGTACCAAAAAGGTGGAATGGCCCCAAATGCTTTGAGGGCTGGCAACATTGCATCTATCAATTCAAGGCATCTAGATGTAAATCATAAGGGAATCTACTTACTGGTTATATTTTCCTTCTTAAAATCTGAAAAAAAAAGACATACGTAAGCAACTGATAGTCTATTTGTTAAAATAAGAGCTTGGTCACTAGCACAGCTACTATCAGTTCTCTCACAGATTAGAGAGAAGTTAGGGCAGGGTGAACCTTAGAGTCTACCTTGTTCTGAAATGCATAAGCCTTTGTAGGCAACAACCTACTCTGTCGGGTGCTATGATGAAGATGCTTCATCAGAAACTTCTGACAAAGTAGGCTGTTGCCTACAAAAACTTACATATTTCTGAATGCATTAGTCTTTTGTGGTGCTACCCTGCCCTGCCTTGCCTTCTGCCTCACTTCAGACTAACAAGGCTAACTACCTCTCAAGAAGAAATGTTCTTTCCCAGCAATATGCTGATTATTTGCTTTTCTGCTACTACCGCAGGTGTTTGAAATGACAATACTGTCACAATAAACCTGATCTTTTCAAGTAGGCCATTTTTGAGATCGGGTTTGGAAAGGGGGCTAGGTCTTCTAACATCAGTCTCAGCTCAAATAAACTGATGACTGCTTTTGCCATCACTCTTTTGCACAGAACCTGACACGTTAAACACAGGGTAAAGTAGAGCTGGATATATTGCAAGGCTGCACTTCCCTTCAAAGGCCCCTTCCAACTCTAAAGATTGGTATTAGGAACCTGTGGTTTCCTTCCAGTGTTGATTTTATTTGTAAATTTCATATTCTACAATTGCCACTTTTTAGAGGATGTCTGATGCCATGATTTAATAAATAAACATACTGGCCATGGCCAGATGGGCACAGAGTTGCAGTGTATGTTGTCGCAGATCCATCTGGCATTCCCCTCACTGCTACCTTGCAGCACAGGGGAGGGGGTTGACCCTGGGAGATCCCAGGGTCAAAAAAACCTACACCAAAAAAAAACGGGGAAGCACACATGGCAGCAGCGTGCACTGCCCAAAACTGGAGCCTGCATGACCAGAGCCACACTACAGCTGTTGGCCAGGCTTCCTGCCATGGCTGCAGCCCCCAGGACCCCAGGTAAGGCTGCTAGGCTCAGCACAGTTGCTGGCCCCAGCCTCCCTTACACCACCCACGGTAACCTGCTGCATGCCAAAGCCCACGTGGCATGGGCATTCCTCAGAGACAAGTAGCAGTAGCACAAGGTGTGCCGCTGCTACTTGTCTTTAGGGAAACAAATGACCATGCTCATCTGGACGTGCCCACTGGGTGCATTGACACATGCGCTTTCTGCAGTTAACTAATTAGCTCCACAGTAAAGCGGTATAGTCTACACGTAGGGAACAGTAAATTAATTAAGTCTGGGACAGTACTATCCTACAGTAGAGTAATTTACTTCATCAAAACACACATGTAGATGGTGACAGGGGCTGGCTGGGGCACGAGGGTGCTAAAGCACAGGGGCTGCCTGCCACCTAGCCCTTGTGCCCTAGCCAGCCCTGGCACCACCAGCCAGAGCCTGGGGCTGATTTCCTGGGCCCCTTGTCAGCCCGGGGCTGCTCTGCCCCAGCTCAAAGTGCTGCCATCCCAGGCTCATATGTAAACCCTCACTCAGAAGCAGTTTTCTCCTACATGAACTGAACTGCACCAGAGTTTACCACATTGACTTAATGGCATGTAGATGCACCCACTGTGGGCCAAATCCATTGCTGATTCAAACTCTTTATACCTCCAGGGAAACCAGTAGACTGCAGACAGAAGTCTCATGGTCTTAAGTTGCTTCCTCTCCCTGGCAATCTGACTCCCTGGGAGTTATACCGGATTCCCCAGTCCACTCCAGACACTGATACCACAGATCTCCCCACAAAAAAGGGGAATCCTTGGGAGAAGAATTGAGGTATATCAGCTTTCCTCTGCAGTTACTACTGGGTGGAAGGAGGATGAATTCTCCCACTTCAAACCAGAACCCTCCAGTCCTAGGGAGAATCCTGTATGGAGTCCCTTTTCTCTGCAAAGAGGGTGCCTCATCATTAGCCTATAAATCAGGTCACACATTGGTCTTATTACTTGCCAACTCTACTGGAAGGTGGGTCAGGCCTCCCCCTCCTCCCCAAACTGTTGCTAAGCCTCAGCCCCATTTCATACAGCTGGAAGGCAAATTGACAGCACAATTCTCAGTTACCAAGGTATGGAATCCTAGTGCAGGCCTTGGGGTCTTGGTGTAGGCTGGGAAGCCTGTTGCATTCAGGAAGAGTCAGCAGCATTAGTCCAGGCTTATAAATTCCCTTCTGGGAATTTTCCTCCATTGCAAGCCATTCCTTAAAGCAGTAGAGATCCTTCACCGCAAGGCAGTGCTCTCTACATTATTTTAAGAAGAACAACAAAATATGCAGTCAGTGGCCTGATAGCAAATAATTCATTTACAAGGTCATGCAAGAGTTATGCAATGAGATCCTCAGGCAGTAGAGTTATCTCCGTTGTTTTC